ACACACACACACACACACACACACACACACACACACACACACACACAGCTGAGAGTAACCCTGCGGTACCCCCGGTCCCTGGGACAAAGGATGGTCTTCCTGTGCACCGTGCTGCCTGAGTACACACAGTGCGGGGGAGAGGGCCCCTGCTCACCAGCCTGAGAATGGGGGAGGGGCGAAGCTCAATGACTGCGAGGCTCCTGCCTCTCCTGCCTCCCCTGCCTCTGCCCTTATTCTACAAAGCTATCACACTCAAAACTACCTACCTCAGGGACTATAACACTCGAGATGACACAACTTTCATTTGAAACTATCCTCTGAAAATGATGGTGAGATTTTACTATATATAAGATTTTACTATATATCCTTCATTCTTGAGGTACAAACAAGAAAAGCCCATGCACATTCTTTCTGTGATCCTTCCCTGCTTATAAATATCAGCAGGAAAAAGCCTAGCGACTCGTGACGTTGCTTCTCACGAGCTCTGTTCTCACAGCCAGTAAATGTGAACAGAGGTTTACCACCTGGTCACAGTGAGCTGCGGAAGGGACAGAGAAAAGAGTTTGTTTTTGAGAGTTTGTGAGAGTCAGTCCTTTCTGGGACAGCATCTCACCGATGGGGGCCAGGCCGGGCTGGCAGGTGAGTGGGCCATACCTCACAGTGGTTCAGGGTTTCGTTCTGCTTGGGTATCAGCCAAAGCTCCACTGTCAGGACAAACACTTCTAAACTAAAATCTAATCAAACAGACACCTAGATTCTGCTTCAGCTTATTTCGCTTTTCAACAGATTCTCATGTAGCCTAGGCTGGCTTCAAATCACCATGTAGCAGAGGCTGGCCTTGAACGCCAATCCCTAAGCTCTTACCTCCCTAGTGATGGGGTCAGCACAGTGGGTTGATCCAGCTTCTGACCTGAGCTATCGGCACCTCACAGTGGAGCTGGAATTGACTCGGGTGTGCAGGGTACAGCTGACGCCATTTCTGGTATGCAGTGGACACAACACTGACCTGTTAAGGCCGTCTGTGCAGAGCAGGCACCTTGTCTACCAATCCTTTTGGGAAGGACCTTTTGCTCCCAACTATTCTCTCTCTCTCTCTCTGTCTTCTCTGTTGTACTCTGAGCACTGAAGCTCGCTCTGCCCCAGCAGGTGGAGCCCCAAACACCTCCATTTTCAGAACAGATCTCAGTAGCCACAGGCTCGCCAGCCACATAGGCTAGCCTGAAGTTTCCCAAGCAGTGGTAGCTAGAGTTTATATTATCTTCATCTAGAGAACCATATCCTTTAGATAGAAGCTGAGTGACAAAAAATGTATTTTTGAAAATATTTGTAGTTTGACATTCTGAATTCTAAAACATTCGCCAGGGACTAGGCAGTAAACATTTCTTGCCCTCAAGATTTTCTTGGCTACTATTTAAATGAATGCACACTGGAAGGGTATTCCTTAGTAGGCCTGTATTCTAAGCACACATGGATTACCTAACAATTCTAATCAATAATGCAATGACTGATTCTGAGAATCTTTACACAGTCTGTCGACTATCAGAGGGATCGTGAGGCACAACTAGTAGGAAAATCCTTGGCTCTGATTAAAGAAAAAACTTTGTTCACCAAAGTCCAGGAGGGTTTCCTTGATGCAAATGTAGAAGTGTGTGCACACAATTAATCCTTTTGAATTTTATAGAACATTTGGATTTTTGCCAAAGACAATACATCAGCATCCAAGTTAACTCAGTCTACAGTTTTTCCACCTTACTAATAAAACTGCCAAAACCAGTAATGTGGAGTACACCACGGCCTCCGTGTATGAGCTACACGTTTAAAGGGAGCTGAAGTCCTATTTGCTGCCACACTTGTCCCTGAGGGCTCCTGGTTCCCTGACTGTTGGGCTTCTGACCATTTCCAGAACTTTCTGGAGTCCAGTAAGGACTACTGCTGCTGTGCACAGATGGAGAGCACAGAAGGAGAGCGCAGCAGGGTTAGACCGAGAGCCCACTCCAGGGTGTACATCCTGATGACACCCATATTCTGTCGGTTGATATTACTTAGTTAGCCCACTCTGACCACCTTCCCTGTAGCCCAGCCTGGCCTTCAACTGTGGCACTCTTCCTGCTCCACCGCCCTCGTGCTGGGGTACAGACACAGGCTACCATGCCTAGCTTAATATTTTCTTCTTATGCACAGAACCCCAGCAGTTGACTCTCGCTTGTAGTATAGTTATTTTGACTTTGGCTAATTTCCTGTACTCTTGGCACTGATTTCACAGCACAGAATTGTGACTGCGCAGGTCTGCAGCGGTGTGTGCACGCAGGGTTATGTGGGTTTTCTGTGGGGTGACGTTATTTCACAGGCATTCATCCGCTCTCACAGACACACACTGCTTCTACCACTGCGTCTCCAAACACAGACATGACTGCGGTACCTCCAGTTTATCAGTCCTGAGAAGTTTCTGAGTTGCAGTTGAGCCCGGGACAGTGACGGGTGGACTTCCAGGAACAATGACCGGTGTGGTGGGCAGGACCTCCGTCGGCACCAACCCGACTCCCGGGGTGACGGGCGCTAGGTAAGGAGCAAAGCTAATAGCTGCATTTGTCCCTATGGTGGGACCTACAGGAAAAGTGGGCTGTCGGGGGAAACAACACAGAAAGACGTCTCAGTGCCAAGGTTACCAACAGGTGCCATTTGAGCAAAAGGTCACACAATCACAAATTCACCCATTGCCTAGAATACCCTTTGTACCAGTTATACAATTCAACTCTGAATTTAAAATACTCCTTCTTTTCTTTTCTTTGCCCAGACCATAGAAGCAAAATAAAGAGCACTGGAGAAACCCAGCATCAAGGAACAGGCTAAACAGATTCTTCCTGTGAAAAGCTTCTCAACAACTGAAGATACCAATTTCCACCCAAATCACCTACCATTTCACACTATTGAGTGCTCTAATCCAAAGGTAGCAGCCTACAGCATATAGACTGGTCATCCATGCATTTTCCTCTAGGTCTCTACAAGGCACATGAGGAAAACAGCCTTTCAATCAGAGCCTGATGTTCAAAGTGGCCCACTTCAGCCATTTTCAGAGTGGAGACTGGCGGGGCCCACTTTGTGCAGACGTTCCGGTACATTCGGTCTCCCATCGCTAGTGTGTAAAGCCCCAATTCATGGCAGTTTTCATGTGGACCTACTGTGTCGCTCTGGCCTACTCTATATCAGCACACCTTTTCATTCCTGAAAGGTGGATGGGAGAGCTTGCAATTTTCAACTGATCTGTTCTCATATGATGCTAACATTCAGCTTTATTTCCTGGTCACACAGTCAGAAGAGCAACGACAAGCACATCCAGGCTCTTGCCAAATGCATTTTCCCTCCTACAGTCCTGGCTAAGAGGAATCACACCATTGGTTGATAGCACAATTACTTTTAAGAGTTCCATCTAATAAGTATCCAAATCATACTCTTTCAGAAAAGATGTGATGCACACTTAAGACGACAAACCTCATTTTACATGTATTTATTTTAAAGTCTCAACATACAGCCCACGGTGGGTTAGGCTTGCCCCAAGCTCGGCAGTCTTCCTCTGAGTGCCGAGATTATGGAGCCACCACTTTTTCCTCTGAAGAACCGTTCACATGGGCTCCAAAGACTTTTCTAAGAATAAACTGTACTCTGAACTGGACTAATGGCTCTATATTTGTTTGCTGGTTTTCAGGAATGGATTTTTTTTTTTTTTTGAAGTGTTGGGGCTCGAACCTAAGGTCACATATGTGACAGGCAAGTGCTCTTCCACTGAGCTATATGCCCAGACTTACAGACAATTCTGGAGCCCATTTGTTTTCAAATATTTCCAGTCACATCCCGGCGTGGCTTTCTAGCACTGGGCCTTGTTGCCACGTGTCACAATATCTCTCTATGTTACAGTGCAGGTAACGTTCTTGTTGTCTGTTTAGATTCGAGTTGTTTGACACACAGGGAAACGAACAGTCTGCGTTAGTAAATCGTGTTTTCCTTTAGGACAACAGAGCAATGTCTCTTGTGAATGACCACGTTGGGAAACAGCAAGTCATTGACAGTTTGTGCAGAGATTTCAGGGACTGCAAAGCCTTCACAGAAGTGGCTGAGAGCTGAAGGCGGCGATTCTAACGGTCTGGAGGAATGCTGGGTAGTTCTCCCACAAGGAGCTCTTACATCTTTATGGTTCAGAAATAATGTTTGCTTTGGGAGAAATTGCAACATGCGCTCAGCACACTGAAGAGGGATAGCGGTTTAATATGTTTTCTTCCCTGACTTTCTTCAGAATTTTCCATGGATGTCATGTGTTACCATTGGAGTCATAATTAAAGAACGGTGTGGCTTTTTAGTAACTGTCGCTTTGGTAATTCAGTAATATTGAAAAAAATCAAGTAACTTAATAGTATAAGAACTACGTTATGCTAGGATTAAAAATATCAACCTTGAAAGGCCACACACATTAGTGATTCAATGGACCTGTTGTATCTGAACTGCCTCGGGGGAGGACGATTATGGATTTTTAAAATGGTAAAGGCTGGTGCAAAAAATAAGTCTTGGCAGGGACCTTCAGATTCTCATTTAAAAGACTTACTATGTGAGGAATGTGTGGCCAAATTTGGGGACCACTCGCATAATTGAGGAATGAAAATAGGTATTGTATTTGTAGCACATGATTCTCTTCATAGAGAAATTAACAAAGCAAGCATTTAGAAGAGACCTCCCCTGTACATTTCCAATTTGATTTTTAAGGATGTAAAGATGTCTTAATTTTGCATTTATTATTTATTTATTTACACACATTTGTGCATGTGCCTCTCTCTCTCTCTCTCTCTCTCTCTCTGTGTGTGTGTGTGTGTGTGTGTGTGTGAAGGTGCCCAAGAGGCTAGAGTAGGAATCACATCCCCCTGGAGCTCCAGTTCCCACAGCTGTAAGCTGCCCAGCACGGGTGCTGGGAGTCAAGCCCAGTCCTTTGGAAAGCCGGCCAGCTCTCTCAACTGCTGAACCATCTTTCTAGCCCCGCCTCCTCTAAATGCACGTGGAATCCCAATCTCTTCTCCTACATATGAACACGGTGTTAACTGCACGCTGACCCTTGACTACCCTAGACCGTCAAGATGTATTTTCCAAACAAAGTCCCTTTTGATACCAACACACTCAACAAAATGTCAAGTTGTGCCTTCAGAACTATGTTGGCTGTTAATCCAGTGTAAGGTTCTGAACTATATTCAGTGTGTGTCACGGACTGTGGAGATGGCGTTTTGCTAAGACAATGCCATCTAGAATACAAAATTATGGGCATCAGATGTTGAGAAGTGTGTCAAGCCCAGTTCTTTTCCACTTATTTTTGTTTCCTGAAGAGAAAATTACCTTCTTTGGGTTTTAAGTTTTCTCATCTGCAATGGACAAGTAAAATCACTGAAAGGATCAGCTAAACAAATGGCTTCTCTTCTATTTCCCATTGTTCAAACTGTTCTCATCAGTAGCATAAATATTCATATCATTACAGTCTTTGCCTCAAATTATCTACTGTTTCTCTAACATGAATAAAATCAGAAGAGCAATACACTCAACATACGTAAAAAGCGAAATTTAACTATGGCAAATACCTTGTCTCCATTTTTTAAAATGTATGTTGGAAAGATACCTTTTGTCATAGGAAACTTACAAGTTCATAGGCCTTATCAAGACAGATTCAATCAGACATAAGACAGTTTCCTTTTTGCACATTGAGTGTTTTTCACTGACGCTGATGAGTGAAAAAGTGCACTTGTGGTCATTGGCTAAGATGTGTACTATACTACGACAGATGATAATACGCGCAAAGCACTGGCACATGCTGTCTTCTTTAGTCTTCCCAAACTAACCCACGAGAAGCACACATAGCCGGGGCAGGGACAGCTCTGCGGTCAAAGGGCAGATCCTGAAAGGATGAGTCAGAGTCAGGGCTGCAGAGTGTGAGCCAAAGCCATGGCTCCCAGCGTGGGCTGATGGCTGCTCTGGTGATTCCACGGATTGTGTCAGTCATGTCTTAGAACAGAGGAGGGAGGTCAATACACCACATCCACATGTCTTTGGAGCATAGAGAGAGAGCAGTGTGTGTCCCTCCAGGGGCTTGAACCCTCTGTGGATAGGGTCTGCCCTGACTAGCTGTGTCTGTTCTTAGAGTGGCTCTTCGATCCTGGACTAAAATGAAACTCCTGAGACAAAGCGCACGTCGGCCCCGGATCATGGCATCTCTGCTCAGTTCTCCACAGCAGCTGAGACATGAGTGGCGCAGTCACTGTGAAGGCCTCCACACTCAGGAGCACGCCAGCCCCAGCCTTCACGACAAGGTTGTAGTTTTAGCCATTTGGTGGCTGTCAGCTCTGTGTGCTGATATGCAGCTGACGAGGCCTGAGGGCAAGAGCCACAGAAAGCCATCCTGAAGAAAATCTCTTCCGAAGGGCTGGTCTTACAGTCTCTCCTCCACACTCCGGCCTTTCTCTCTGTTTTCCTAGCGCACTACACACATAGCTCCCAGGCAACCAGAGTGGGATGGAGAGTAGAATTCACAGGACTTCATGGGCCACAGTCAAGATTAAAATTTTAATCCATTGTCCCCAGTGACATGGGGAACATTTAGAGCCCTTACATTCTTGGGGGAGGGAGGGTGAGCAAAAGAACAATAAGAAAAAGTGGGGGGGGGGCAGAAAGAGGAAGCGGGAGTAAAGGGTGGAGAAGGGGGGACTCAGTCAAGATGAAATGCTTGATTTCTAAGCTAAAAATAAAATCAAGGGGGTTATACTCCCCCCCCCCCCCCCCCCCCACGAAGGAGACCCTGGAGGCCAGCAAGAGCAGAAACCGGGACTTTAGAAGGACAGTGCTTACGGAACGTGCTGAAAGCCAGGCTAGCGGTGGCTCGGATCAGGAAGATGGGAAGCAGAGAGGCCCACAGTGTTGAGGGCAGGTAGGACAGGGCCCGAGAGGACCCCCAAGCTCTGGGAAACACGGGCCAGGCTTTGCTGGAGGCTGCTGGTTGGTGGTTCCACTTAATGAACTGGGGATGCAGCGGGATCAAGACCTCGGTCTTAATCACATTCTTGCAAGAAAATTTAAGGTGAGTTTAGACAAAGACAGTCTATGCGCCTGGGGAGATGCTTAGAGCCTGGGGATGTGAACGCACATTGGGGTTCTTAAACTGAAAAAAAAAATCGGCTTTTGGTATGGATTGGGTTACAAAAAAAAGGGAAAATGGAAGGAAGTATTCATTCTGGAACCGTCAACATAGAGTTGAGAAGAATGAGTTAGGCAAAAGAGAAAGAGATGAGGGTCACAGGGGAAGGGCTGTTCCCCAGGAAGAGACGCTGCTTCCGTGCCCGGAGAGCTCACAGGAGGCCCCACACGCTGACACTCATGATTTTGGTCCACACTAGAAACGGGGTGGCGTTTACATCCCTGAAACTTATTTAACACAGGGAAATGCTGTGAGGGAGGGAATCCAAGGCGAAGACACCAGCAGACTAAATGTTTAGTGAGGGGTCACCTGGCTTTTATTACATTTGTAATATATGTAACTGTGTCTGTCTGTCTGTCTGTCGTGATCCCGCTCCCACCCGCATCTCTGTGTGTACATGTATGGAGCTTAGAAGATAGCCTGTGTGTTAGCTCTCTCCTTCCACCATGTGGATCCCAAGAATCAAAATCAGGTCCATCATGGCGGTAAGTCCTTAGCCACTGAGCCTCTAGCTGGCTACTTGTTAGCCGGAAGATGGCTGTTTACAGCAAGCCTCTTTTCCTCTGGATACTAATCCCATCGTCAGGGCTCCAAATTCCTCTTCGGTGGCTGGCCTCAGCTGTCAGTTTCACTAAGAGATGTCACTGATGAATGAAACACCCCTTGTGTCTGTGGGTCGTTTCCTGGGAGGACTGTGACAGGGCCAGGGTGGGGGCCTCCTCAGGGCTGGCTGACACCTCCCAGCAAGTGTTCTAAAGCCAAAACTGGGCAGTGTGCTGCCTCAGCCCCTCCTCTCTGGGGACGCGTGTTGCCGCTGCCATAATTCTCCATTTACATCAGACTCCAGCGTCTTCCGCCTTTCCTCACGAGGTTAGCACCTGCAGTTCTCCAGAGATCTTCCGGGTCGCTGCTGGAGTACCACCCTGAGCGGAAGCTGGTCTGATGGGCTGTTCTTGTTCTCCTCCTCTAGAGAACCTTGCACAAGACAACTTCAAATCAGGCCACCCAGAAGAGGACGGTCCTCAGCACAGTGGATTAACAAGGAAGACAAGAGTGACCACTGTCTGGCAAAGAGAGGAAATACTGTGGAGAAACTTTGGTGGAATGAATTCAGGAATGGATAGAAGAAAGAAAGGAAAAATTATCCCTATTACTTTAAAGAAGCAGAGGTTGGCAGGAGGCCAAATGGAGCAGTGTTGCTTCTGTGACCGTCAGTTAATTTGTTGCTGAGCTGACTGTGGCTGCTGCACCGCAGAGCCGCACTCACTGATGCTGTCACAGTGCAGGAGGCCGGACGTCCGACATCAATTACGCTGGGCTGCAAGCAGGGTACTCACAGGGCTCTGTCTCTCTCGAGAATCCACTCCTTTCTCGTCTGTGTCCTGGTGGCTCCTGGCTTTTCTCGGCTTGTGGTCGCGGCAAGCCTGCTGTGTGGACAGGTAGCCTTTCCATGCTAACCCCCCTTGCCCCTTTTGCCCCTTTGCCAGCCTCTTCTAAGGACACTCGTGGACTACACGGCTCTGAGGGACTCTCACCATCTGTAAACTCTAATCACAATTGCAAAGACCCTGCTTGTGTGAGGATACACCCTTGTGTGCTCTCTATGTGTGGTGACACGTACAGGAAGCAAGAACTCTGAGGATCATTCTTCAGTAAACTAACCAGGACACAAGTTCATTTCTAAAGTTCTGAAGAAGTTTGTTGGTAGAGCAGCTGAACGTTAGACTCAGCACATTCTGCCATTTAAAACATCTCGAGATTTAAGACCCAGCACTGGAACGTCTCACAGGGCCACTCCTTGATCATAGCCGAGGGACGACTGACATCAACTCCTAATTAATGTTTGAGGCAAATACACAAATGTCACTCTCAAAAACAATCCCACTAATACTCAATGACATGAAGAGATTTTTCAGATTAAAATGAATGTGACCAAGTACTAGGGTCAATTCTTATTAATTCTAAATAAGCAGGAAGTATAGTTTGAATGACGGAGATGTGTAACACTGTTGTTATATCGACTTGGCTCATATTAAATTTGCTGCCACAGACATTATTTAATATGTATAAGTACATTATTTTTAACTTTTAGGTAATTTAATAAAATAACTTATAAGTGCACATCAAATATGAGCCATAAATTATGCAGGTGTGCAGTTCTAAACAGAGCGGCTGCAATGGCTATGTCCGGCTGAACTCTTTTGTACCGTCTGCATCTGGGACCGCTCTTTCTGGCCCTGTGTGATGACGTATGTGATGCCTCTTTCCTTCCGGCAACCTCTTCCGGCAATATCCTCCCATCTCTGTCTGACTCCTACCCAGCCCCATTCACACAACTGTTTATCTCAAAAGGCTACATCTGTCTTACCTTGGAATATCTGCATTTTTTTTTTCTCCACTCTGGACAAAGCTGAATCTCAGAGTCAGTTTCTGCCTGGCGGCTAGCAGAACTGCTAAAAGATGGCTGGAGTCTCTCCATGACTCCTGCCCATCCTCCCCTCCCCAGCCTCTCATAGTCACACAACAGAGAAAACGGTCCTCGCTGGTAGCTACCCCTTTTAATTTAGCTGTGCTCACTCATACAGACTTTTATTACAATATAGACTGATTTTTATAGAACGGTCTTTTGTGAAAATTCACTCATGTTGGCTCTTTAAAAAATTGACTTGTTTTTGACAAATAATTCACACTGAAAGTGAAACCCACTGATGTCAAAGGCACTCCTTTCTCCCGGCGGCCCTCAGCTCTGAAGCAGTTTCTAGACCTTTAAGGAGGCAGTCTCACACACTGACATCAGGAGAAAAGCATTACACAATCCATATTCATACTCGGCTCCCTGGGGCCTGGAATCTGTGGCTCTGGTTGCAGCCGCCGCCACACCCTTCGCAGACCCAGGAGCCCAAGCGGCTCCGCCATTTCCTGGTGTGCTGCTGCCTGTGACACCCACCCTGACATGGCTGTTGTCTGTTTCTGGCAGGAGCACGGGATACAAAGGACCCTGGCTAAAGACCTAGCTCAAGTTCAACTCATTACTGGCGAGTCTGCTTTCCTCACCCTTAAAGCGGCTCCTCTAACCCGCACCAAGCCTCGACGACATTGCTCAACTTATTCTTAGCACCACCGCCTCCCCAACACAGAGCTACCATCCCGAACTCTAAAGAAAATGAGGACCAGTTTCTGCATGAAAATGGCCTGCAATCCAGAGTTGGCTGGCAAGGAGGAGCTGGTGTGGTGTATGTTTCCCTGACACGGATTACACGTGGCCCTAGACTCAGTTCCACACACGCATCTTTCCACTTAAATTAAGAGAAGCATGCAGCCGTGCTCAGCATCCACGAAGCTTCAGAGCTGTCTGCTCCGATGTAACCACGGTGACCGCGGTCACTGTCGGTCACGGTGGCACTGCCTGCCCCAGCCCGCGTCACACAGCCTCCAGCACACTCACTCACCACAGGATGAAGCGGGCTTCCCGGAAACATGAACTGCATCTGCTGGGCTAGCATTGCCGCGGCGGTCTTCTGCTGGATCAGGTTGTTCCTCCCGTTAATCTCCAGCTGGGTCTTCAAGTGTGTCGGAGGATGAAGATACTTGCAGTTCTCTCTGGAACAGCGGCCCTGCAACACCGACAGTTTGGGGTTAGGGTGGCAGTGGTGACAGCAATGACAGTTGTCGCTTTCACTCCTCCAAGGCAAGGGCAGAGTGTGTGTGTGTGTGTGTGTGTGTGTGCACAAGTGAGTGTGTATGGGTGTGCATGCATGTGTGTGTCTCTGTGTGCTTGTGTCTGTGTGTCCATGTGTGCGTGTGTGTGCATGCGTGTGTGTTAGAGAGGATGACAAAATAAAAGCTTACATGATTATCAAGGTCCTTTTCCTTCCCTTCCGCCTCACTCTGTCCGTCCCTTCCTTCCCTCTGTCCTTATGTGAAGCCTAGACAGCCACCGAGACGCCCGCCGAGAGCAAGGAGGAAGGCCTGACAATCGGAAGAGCACGCTTCTCTTAACCCAAGAACCCTTGAAGCTGCCGTACACTGCTTTGTACACTCTCGAGTGATGTGAGCATATGAACAGTCGGCTGCCACACACGTGCAGTGAGGACAAGAGTAAGAGTTTTAAGTGTGTTTTCCAGACTGGCCAAAGACGTCAGTTTGCATTGCTGCGGCTGAGGCAACAGGGATGGGCTTCCGGAAGTGCTTACTGATACCCACCGGTGACCACTCGTTATATGTGGGGGTAAGCACCTCAAGTCTGACACAAACAAAGCTGCCAACCATTCCTCACCCTTCCCCATGGCAGGAGACTGATGTGATGCCAAGAGTGAGGAGTGTTCACGGCTAGGCCATCTTCTGGACACGGACACCGGTAAAAGAGGAAAAGCATTGCATTAGGTGACAGGTGTGTGTCCAGGCAGGGCTGAAAAGTATTTGCATATGGAATTGCAAAATTCCAAAGTGAGCAAAACCACCAGTCATATGAGAATTACACTACACGTGAGTTATGCAGTTTCCAGAGAAAGCACTGTTAACTAGTCAACTGGAATATCAGCATTCCCTAAGGAATTAGTCTGTCTGTAACTGTGCAAAAAGACCATGGGTTTGTTTATCAGATAAAAAACGTCAGGCGAGCCTGGGAGAGCTGGAGAACGAATGTGTTTACAGCTTTTCTGCTGCATAACATCTGGAGCCCTCTCTCTGCTTTCACTAACTCCAGCTGCACTTCTGCCACCTCTCGTTTCTCCTCTCATGAGAATTTCCCCTTGAAGCCCTGGCGATGGGCAGACCTGAGTCCTAGGCTCAGTCCTGGTGGTCTGTGCTGTCAACCCATGCCACCCGGAGGCTTAACTCAACAGTGTGAGCCTCACTGTCTTGGGGAAGGCATGGAAAGGAGTATCTTGTGAATCCTTAGCAGGAGCAACATGAGACTCTTAGCCTCAAGTTCTTGTTTCGGGTTTTCTATTCAGCTTCCTGTATGCAGACAGACATCGTAAGGCCATGCCAACGTCAACGACATCAGGGAAGCTGGAGCAGCCACTGGACTCTAACAGAACATGCCCCGCCCACGCCGAGTCTCGGCAAATCTGCTTTTCATTGTTTCTGTCTTCATTCCTTAATCTTAGTTCTATTCAAGGTCTAGTGACTTCCCAGCGTCCCACGGTTCCTTTGAATTTATTTCAGTCATCTTTTACTTTATAGCTCTATCTTTTCTCTCTTGACAATCCCCCAGCCTCCTGGTTTGTTCAAATTTAATCTCCAGGAGAGCATTCAGATGGCCCTGCTCCTTCACCTTAGCAGTAGCCAGCCAGGGAGTCAGCTGATGTCAGGTGTCCAGATGAATTCCGTCACCTGTGAAGGAAGGATCGGAAACACAGCTGTCTCCCATGACCTCGGGTGCAGAGGGCTTCAACAGAGAACATTTCTCATATAAAACTAAAGGCACCCTGCTGACCTCAGTCCCAACTTCTCACACAGGGCACTTGGTACACAACACCCAAGAAACTGTTCAGAGCGTGCATGGGTGGCTCTGCTGCACAGACCTGGGGGTGGGTGGGAAGTGGCAGCTTGGAGAAGCAGAATTCTCAGAGGGTAAAATCAGCAGAGTGTCCACAATGCATCAGGATGGCAGGCTGCTCGGGATATAATTATCGTTTTGATCACTGATCTTCTAATCCGATATTTTGCTGCTTCTCATACAGATTTCAATTGGCTGGAAAATACGGTTTTCTTGCTAATTCATTCTTACAAGCGGAACCCTGGGAGAACTATATTAACCATTTTTCTGGTGATAGAACATGGTTTATAAAGGAATCTTTCTTTTCATGAGGATTAATCCAATTTCCCACTGTCCTCACTTATACACTCTCTGAGTACAGAATATTATTGATCATCAATGTGCCAGGCAATTTATCTGTGGTTATCTCATTTTCTCCTCGAATCAGCGGAGATGGTTCCTTACTTCACAGGAGAGTAGATGGGATCAGAAGAATCCATGGCACTTTGTGTCATCTCTCTGTAAGGGTGGTGCTAAACTTAAAACCAGGTCTCATTCTGCTGATTTTACCACTCCACTGAGATATCTGTCAGCAATAGCTAAAATTGGGGAGAGAGAAAAACTTAGCACCACCCTTCACGAAACAACAGGATGCAGAACGAAAGCTAACTACACTGCTAAACACGTGTGTGAAGACCTGGGGCTGAGAGTCAGGCCAGTGTCGATGACAGCAGGGTCTGTGCCCTGGAGCAGGGCTCAGGAAACACACATGTGGGCTCAGAGCTCAGCTCCTCCCCTTCCCACTGGAGTGACTGGGAGTGAAGTGACTGATTATTTTCTTCTTTTAATGACTACCTCCTCCTCTTACCACTGCTATGCAGCTAAATAAGTTAGGAGGAGGATAAAGTTCACAGAGCTATCTGGTTCACAGGAAGTTCTGAGAAGCATAATGTGCATGAAAGCAGAACATGTGTGTGGTATTTTGTTTAGAATAAGTGCAAGATCACAGATTTACTGCTATCTGATTAGCTCTTTGCTTCCCCTTCGGGATAAACTCTCACATCAAAGCACGCTAAACACCTATTAATTGTTATTATTCAAATGTCGTGTTTGGAGTTCTCTTCAGTTCTATAGAGTATTTTTGCAACTACCCCTGTATAAACCAACAGCGTGAACCCCAGTCTGTCTGGCATCAGTATTTTAAGGAATGTTGTCTGTGGATATCTGAGGAATTCTAATTCAAGCACTGTGAGCTCTAGGAAACAGAATTTCAGGAAGACACCCTAAAGGACTCCAAAATCCTAAAGGAAATCCTACTGTCAAAATATAATGAGCTACCTGACACAGTAAACCATTTATAGAAAAATTCTATAAATATAAATTGAAAGCCCAAGATTTCTCAGGACATGCATCCTGGCACAAAAAGCTGTTGACTATCAAAGCAGGCTGTCGGAGCTGACTGGGGTGGGGTGTCAGTATAAAGACTCAAAAGCATCTCTGTAGACCACCAAGAAACAAAACCGAGGTGTCAAACACAGTCTCCGGAGGTTAGCCAAAAATAAAGACAAAAAGGTACAACGTTTCCTTGTGGCTGCTAGGGCTTGTTTCCTGTTTCCCTTGTTTCTGTGCTCTTCTCTTTTGCTTCTTGGTAGAGACATTTCTCAGGGGATGCAGGAATCGAAGCCCAGCCTGGAAAGTTGTGGGCGATGGAGGTGGGAGCACCGCACTCAGGATCCTTGGAGGGTCTTCCAGTAAGGGACAGCTGCTGCCCAGGCTGGGGCCAGCAAAGCGGGCTCACACTAAGGACTGATTCAGAGCCAGCAGCTCACACTGGCATAAGCTTTGTTCACTTCCTATGAGGGGCCCGCCAAGTGCAGGGATGGTAGATGGTTGTAAGGTTCCAGGCCAAGTCATGGATTCACTCAACACATATCTATGACTAAGCTTGTCAAAGGTAAGCACAAACAAGACACACTGTTCCTTCACAAGTCCAATTTAAACCGAGAACTGAAAGATACACAGGAACCCAGTAAGGGAACGGGCGTAAGGGAATGTGTATGTTGGGGGTGGGTGTCTGTGTGTGTTCATGTGTGTTGAATGTTCAGTGCACACGATCTGTGGTTATATATTTGTTATGTTCACGTGTGTATGTTTGTGGTGTGCTGCTGCATGTGTTGGGGAGGAACAAAATACAAGCACACTAGAGAAAGAGGCTTTGCCACGGGAGGGAACGTGCCAGCCGGGAATCTGCACGTGCTTTCATCTGGAAACCAAAGCCAGTGTGAGCAGGAGTTGGCGAGGTGAGAAAGGATGAAGCAGGAAGAAGTGAGAAGCAAGCAGGTAAACAAAACAAAACAAAAAACAGTGAGACGCAGCAAGGGACAAGGTCTCCATCGCCTTTGAAAGCTTTTAAGCAAGAGATTAACAAGTCTGATTTTTACGGTATAGTCCATTTAAGTGTGGCCACGATTATTCATTTTCACATTACTAACTTTATTGTTGTGGGTATGACTTGTTTGAAAGTCCTAGAAGAAGTCTGATTGGATTTGTGTGGTTTATTCTGCCTCCCCAAACAACCTCTGTTCCAGGAAGATTTTGATTAGGGGTGGCGGTTGCAGCAAAGTTTGAATTTCAAACAGAATTGAATTTACTAAAATAAGCAACCAGGGCAGGTTGCAATGCAGAGGTCCCTGCCGATCTGCAGCAGGATGAAGCAGGATGCTAAGTAAGTGTAAGGTGTCTGGCAGAAAACAGACCTGAGCTATCAGAATTACATGGTCATTAAATTATATGGCTGGGGATGGAACAATTGTAGCTTCGGCAAAGAAAAGACTACAGAATCAGGTTGGAGTAAGAAAGAGCATAAGAAAGAAGTGGGGTTCTTAAAAATGATCTTTTTTTTTTTAAACAAGTAATCTTTAGAATTATTTCCTAGTATGCTCCTAATTGAGAAAGTCAGTGACAATATGGAGGCAAGAAGGAAAACATTACAGGGAGTAAAAGACTGCCCCTGTGTTAACGGGTCTGCAATTTGAACATAGACCCCTAACACAAAGAGTGAGTTGATAAGGAATGATTTTCGTTGTGTTTTGCCTCGGCCTCATGACGGCTCATGGGTTCTTAAAAGGTCCT